GATTGGGGGCCCCCTCTTCCCTGCTTTTGTTGTGGGGGGGGGGGGGGGGGGGTTGTCAGTCCACTGATGAGAAAGTGATGGCGGCGCGCTTTGATAAGCAGATGGCGAGTCTCCCGGCAGATGCGGCACTCAGCAGAGGCAGCGAGAGCGCGGTCATAGGAAGCCTGTGTAGGGAACGCACACGTATGTACTGAGCTGGAAACTACAAGACACATGTCTGCCTCTCAGATCCCAGTCGGGGAGCTCGTCCAAACACGGACTTGGCAGAAGATCTAATTGCAAGCTCTCCAGATCAGAGAACCTCCAAATCCATCAATAGGCTTTGTTCTGAGTGGCGGGGGACCCAAACAATGAACTTCTCTCATATGATTCCCTTTAATCTGTTACCAGGAAACAAAATACATATACTGTATATATATATGAGGAACCAATGCACCAATACTGGTTTTTCGGTATTGAGTACAAGTACCGATTGGTTTTTTTTGGTACTCGCTGATACCGAATAGTACTGAAACTGGAAGTCTCATTAAAGGAGAACTATGAGGGGGGAGGGGGGGGGGGGGCTTTTCACTCACCTCATAGTTCTAGCCGGCCTGTGACAATGAGACTGTGACAGGTCGGCTCAGTAGATCGGGAGGTGAGCGAACACATAACATAGTTCTCCTTTAAGGAAGCCGGGCAGCGTGTAATGACTCACCACCTGGCTTCCTGATTAGCAGGGAAGCTGCCTCCATGACGAGAAAGCATGGATCTGGATTTCAGGCCAATCAGGAAGCCAGGCGCTGCATCATTACAGGGTGCCCGGCTTCCTGATTGGCCAGGTTCTCCACTGGCGCTGCATCGTTACACGCTGCCCAGCTTCCTGATACCAGAAGCTTATGTATCGGGCTAGGCATCGGAGCATTTGGGCCAGTATGAGTACTGGCCCAAATACTCGGCATCGATACCGATACTAGTTTCGGTATTGGTGATTCCTGAATGGGAGGGGTCTGATTCCTGAATGGGAGGAGTCTGATTCCTGAATGGAAGGAGTCTGATTCTTGAATGGGAGGAGTCTGGTTCCTGAATGGGAGGGGTCTGATTCCTGTATGGGAGGAGTCAGATAAGTGAATGGGAGGGTCAGATACCTGAAAGGGAGGGGGTCTGATTCCTTAATGGGACGTGTCTGATTCCTGAATTGGAGGGTTGGGTTCATTATAACCACCTAGGACACTCTCAGTGTTCGAATGGGGAAAGTTGCAGTGTCGGCATCCCTTTAGTAGCAGTTACCTCTAGGGAATGTCTTACCAAAAATGACTAAACGTTTACTTGTATCTCAGTGCAGACTTTGAGCCAATCACAGAAGGAGGAAATGTCATATCTGGGGGCGTTCCACACACTGTCGGTCTACAGAACACCTCCAGGTTGCCATATTGCATTAAACTTTATGACTTACGATATTTAATAACATTGGGATAGAACATTTCTCGTGTTGCCATTTTTTTTTTTTATACTTTATTATTTTTTTTTCTAAACAAAAGTTGAGTTTTACTTTCAATACAGACGTGTAATGGACTGACTGTGTTTACATTGCAGTGGCGGTACCCTCGGCTGTGCCATCGCCTGCTCCTCTGCCTGTGG